GCTACTTCCTGCTGATTGGGAATGGCAAAGGACACACTGACAAAGGAACTTAATCAGAACTGACTTTGACAAGCACTGTGGCAATTGGACAATTAAAACAGACTTTCAAGGGGGGGAAAAGAAGAATGAACTGGGGAGGAGGGTAGAGAAAATAGTGCAACAATGAATGAATGAAAACCCCAAATCTCTTTAAATGTTCATTAAAATAAATAAAATTTAATAATAATAAAAAAACAAAAAACTGTACAGCTAACACTGTACTTAATGGTGACATACTGAAGGCAGGAAAAATGCAGTAGCCACTCAACGTCATTCTAGAGGATCTAGTAAGGTAAATAAAGTAAGAAAAGAAAATAAGAAGCTTGTTCTTCAAAAAGAAAACTATTCCTAGTTACAGACAAAATGATTATTCACCTAGACAATTTCAAGAAATCTTTGAAAAAACAAACACAACCCCTAGTAATCCTACAAACTAACAAGTGAATTCATCGAGGTGGTAAGATGAAAGATAAACATTTCAAAATTAATTGTATTTCTATATACAATCAATAAGTATTTAGAACCTAAAATTAAGACAATACAATGCAATTGATACTGACTTTAAAAAAAACACTGAAGTCTAACTCTACTAAATCATGTGCAGAATTTATATTCTGAAAAATCACAAAACACTGATGAAAGAAAGAAAAGATCTAAATAAATGGTGAGACATACCATGTTCATGGATTGGAAGACTCAAAAGAATAAACATGTCAATTCTCTCCAAACTTATAAGCAGGATTAAATTGATTCTTATAAAATTCCAGTGATTTGAAATACAGGCAACATTATTCTAAAATACATAAAAAAATGCAAAGAATCTGAATAGCTAAAATATTTTTTAAAGGAAAAATAAGAGAAAATTCTGTTTATGTGATTTGAAAACTTGTACAGCAGAGCAAAGAACCCAGAAAGTATTGAGCAGAGTTTGATATGAACAACATAATACTTAAAAGAGAAAACTGATTTAAAATGGGCCTCATCAAAAGTTGCTCCATGAAAAGAGCCTATAAAGAGGATAAAAAGACAAGGTACAAAGCAGGAGAAAATAACCTGCATATCTAACAAAGGACTTATGTGTAGAATACATGTAAAAACCTCAAATTCATTTCTACAAGTCAGAACTGACTCATAGCTGACTTCCCAGTGGGTTTTTTGAGTCTGTTAATGGCACAGGAGATTGCCTGTCTTTTCCCCACAGAACCACTGGTGGATTTCAACCCCTAGAGAGGCACTAACTTTGGGTTAGAAGTGCAGCTCTCTAGAGACTAAACCACCAGAGCTCTGAGAATATATAACAAACTTTCGAATCCCAACTAACAATTCTATGAGGAAATGGGTGAAAGACTGGAATAGATAATCCACATAGAGGAGATACAGATGGAAAATAAGCCCACAAAAAGAACCTCAACATCTCCAGTAATTAAAAACAAATAAACCCCAAGCCCACTGCTGTTCACTAAATCCCAACTCATAACAGCCTTCCCATGGTTTTCTAAGGCTGTAAATCTTTATGGGAGGAGACTGTTCACCTTTCTCCTACAAAGTGATGACTGGTCAGTTTGAACTACTCACCTTTGGTTAGCAGGCATACCTCCCCTTTTAGTCATTAGTGAAATGCAAATTAAAACCACAATGAGATACCACTATATTATCTATGAGAATGGCTGAAATAAAAATTAGACTATCAAATGCTGGTGAAGATAGATAGAAATTGAAGCTTCATACAGTACACATGGGAATATAAAATGGCACTGTCACTCTGGAAAAGAACTATTAAGAAAACAAACCACTAAACATTTAACAGGCATATAGCATAGCAATTCCTCTGCTGAACATTTAGTCTTAAAAAAATGAAAATTACTGTTCATACAGAAATTGATACACAAATGGTCACAGTAGCTTTATTCACAATAGACCCATGCTGGAAACTCAGATGCCCTTCAGTAGGCAGTTTATTAAATTGAAGCATGCCAATGAATATTACTCAGGATTTTAAAAAATAATGAACTGTCTATATACTTAATAACTTGGATGAATCTCTATAGAACTACGCTGAGTGCAGAAGCAAACTGAAATGTTTATACCCATTCCTCACTATTGACACTGTGAAGTTCCAAAGACCAAGTTGTTAAACAAAACGCATTATGTGAGAACTGCCTGTGGTGCCCCATTTCTGGCACCTCAGATGTCACAGCAGAGCTCTGCTCCATCCGGTTGTCACCTGCTAACTTTTCAGAACACAGCACCAGGCTTTTCTTCCAAGGGACTTCTGCGTGAGCTCAAACCACCAACCCTTCAGGTAGGTGCTGAGCTCTTAACCATTTGAACCACTTGGTAATACTAGAATAATATCAATTATATTAATAATAATAATAATAATAATAATAATAATAATAATGTATATTTCTCCCGTGTACTGCCTCTGAAAACCACTGGAGGGTCATAGATTCCGACTTGACAGTACACTACAATCTATTTTCCATAGTACTGTCAAAGTTATCTTTATAACATGCAAATTTCTAACCTTTTCATTCTTTTGCAAACCACATCTCCTGCACTACAGGTATAATTAAGAGGAAACTTTGTGGTGTAGTGATTAAAGCACTTGATTGCTAATCAAAAGTTCGAACATACCAGTCACTCTGTAGGAGAAAGATGTAAGTCTGTTGCAGACCGAGGGTAAAGTATTTTTATAAGTATTATAATAATGAGACACAACACCAAGAATGTAGGAGAAAAACCAGGTACAGCAGGAGGTGAACAGTTCTTCAACAACTGAAGCGCTGACCTTAGCTTCCCTGTGTCTTTATTGAAAATCGCCAGGGAGAAAAAGCACCAAGAGAATTCAATACAAATGAATCTAAGCTCTTTCTATTGAAGACCTTCTGCTTGATTCAGGAGGGAGGGGTGAACAAATACAATGCCCGAATCCTGTAAAGGCTTCAGGATTGCCTTAGTGTCTACCCCTGTAAACATTTAAGGATTGCGTTAGTGCTTCAGGGTGAATTCCAGCTTGTATCAGCCTCCCTCATAACCTAAAGTAGCATTTGGTTTATTACAGATATTTAGTAGGAAATTTGGCTTCCCACAAAAGTCTACTTCTGTAAGGGTTTACAGCCTTTGGAAACCTTATAGGGGAATTCTGCTCTTTTCCTATAGTGTTGGTTTAAGATGGAGTTGAATTGATGGTAGAGGCTTTTTGTTTGTTTTTTATGGCCAGGCCACATGCCATATCTTATTTAATCTTCATACACTATAGAAACCAAATGTTTCCCAAATGATGTTTTATGGCACACTGCTTTTTGTGACATCAGTGGTCCTCTCTGACAATTCTCCTCACTGTATGTATAGTTTGCTAGTCTATTAAAAAAGAGAGGATTTTTTCAAGTTTTAAAATATAAATGTGCCCTATAAATATTCAAAATATTATATTCAAAAGGAAGTCATCACATATAGCTTTCCTCCTTTTTCTTTGATTTTAAAACTCTTATTTTCATGCTGATAAAAACTTACCAAGGCAGCTATTGCTGCCAGTTTAGGGCCTGTGTCAGGAAAAGGAAGTCTTACTCATATACAGTGTCACCCAAAGGTAATAAAGGAGGTCAGAATTGCTTCCACTGTGAAAAGCTGGGCCACTTCAGCAGACAGTGTCACAGACGAGAGCCACAGATAGGCAAGGGAGTAGAGAGGAAGCTCCCACTCATTTGCTTTAAGTGTGGCTCTGAAGGACACTTGGCCAAGGTGGCCCACATCAGGTCCTTGTGGCTGACAGGACTGACAGGCCCCAGCTCCCAGCTGGAAACAAAGGAGGACGCTTCAACTATTTAGATCCTCCCAGAAGAGCCGTGGATGAGCATTAACATTACTGGTAAGTATATTCATTTTCTCCTGGACACAGAGCCTACTAATTGGTCCTAAAATCCTTCTGAGGTCCCAACTCTTCACACTATCTCTTAGTTGTTGGAATGGACGGAAAACCTCATAAGCAGTTCCTTACTTCACCTCTACCTTGCATGTGAACTTCCGAGTTGTAAAACAGCCCAGTGGTAGATGGAAATTGCTCCAGGACTTAAGAAGCATAAATGACATAGCTGAGCCTCTACATCTTGTGGTTCCTAACCTGTACTCTATAACAGACAAAGTGCTAGTCTATAGGCCTTTTATTGTAAGAACCACCTTCCCTCTGTAACTTGATTTGTGCCACTACTAGAACCTCTACTCGGAATATTACTGCTTGTTAATTTTTGACTCATGTACTTTTAACTTGTTAGTTAAATTTGTGTCTTCTAGGTTGCAACACCTCCATGATACATCTTCAAGGATATGAACATGTACGGCTAAGCACAATTAATAACAGTGCATCTAAATTACAAAATCAATCTCCATAATAGTCTATGTGTTTCCTACTGCCAAAGGGGCCCTTTAGAGTAGTGAGAGAAGATCTTCACCCTGAAACCCACAATGTCCCTTTTCAGCAGGAAGTAGCTAAGAGAATATGCCATCCCCTTTTCCTTATGAATCAGGGTGAAGTCTCTCTCAGGGAGGAGTGACAGGGAATGGCAAAGGGCACACTGACAAAGGAGATTAATCAGAACTGACTTTGACAAGCACTGTGGCAATTGGACAATTAAAACAGACATTCGGGGGGGGGGGGAAGAAGAACGAACTGGGGAGGAGGGTAGAGAAAACAGTGCAACAACGAATGAATGAGAACCCAAAATCTCTGTAAATGTTCATTAAAACTAGTAAAATTTAATAATAATTAAAAAAATAAAATAAACACTTCCATCGCTCCATGTAAAAAAAACCCCAAACAAACCAAAACTTACTAAAAGAAGCAGTGATTCTGTAATATTCCATAATGTTGGATGGAGCTGAATTTTTATGTTAATTTAGGTCATAGTTTTACTGTTACCAGTCTGACAATAATCACAGTGTTGATGATCCAAACTACTTACCATGTAACAATATAAATAGATCGTAGTACTAATGTGAAAACCAACATTCCATACATGACCTGAATAAGAAAGGAAAATGAAGTTAGTAGATCATTCTTTTTTGGCAGAGGAAATGTACTTTGTCCACAAAAATAATTCTCCTGGCTAACTGTAAACATTTCCTATCTTTCATTTCATTTTAAATAACACTTTTTTTAAAAAAAATAATGAATTATAATTAAGGCAATCAAAGTTTCATTAAATCCCTGTTGTACAGTGCCTTTCCCTTCATGTCTCGCTCTTTGATTTGAAGCATTCGATGGCTACTTCTACCTTGGAAATTGACCCAAGGGTAAAAATTTAAATCTCGTTTTATTATTCTCTTATCTGTTCTCCATAGGGAACTCTGGTGGCCTCGTGGTCAGGAGCTGTGCTGGCATCCCAAAAGCACATGGCTCAAATCCACAGGAAAAAGATGGGCGCTTTCCTCTTATTCATGATTAAGAGTCTAAAAACTCATTGGAGACTCAGCTATGAGTTGTTTCTGACTTGATGACACAAAACCAACAATCTGTTCTCCATAGTGCTGTCTAAGTATTTTTTCTAAAACACAAATTTTGAGTATTTTCATTCTTGTGCAGACCACATCTGTACCACAGGTTAAAGTAGCATGATATTTGAGGCCTTGATCTGACTCTTGCCTACTGCTTTATTATCTCTTACCTCCAGGATCTTCTAATATGTACATGTTGTTGTTACGTGCTGCTGAATCAAAACCGACTCATAGCTGACCCTCCAGTGAGTTCTCTGTGGCAGTTCATCTCACAGGAGACTGCCCATCTTCTCTCCCACAGAGCAGCTGCTAGACTCAAACTGCTTGTCTTTGGGTTGGGAGCACAATTCTTTACCATGAAGCCACAGCATTCCTCAGTATATTCATAGACATAATATCATCCATAAAAACAACTAGTGGTCTTTCTCTATTAAATAGAATCCAAGAAATATTTATTGAGCCTTACACTAGGCCCTGGGGAATGCAATAGTATGAGTACCAAACAGACCCAGGTTAACGCAGGCCTGCCTGAGGGTGAGCATAGTGTTCTACCACCGTGGATACAGTAGGGTTAAAACAGGGACTGTTTTGTCTGCTTTGGTTGTTGTGAAGGATTGTACCCAGGTTGGAGGATTTGGGCCTGCATGAGTATAAAAAACAGTCAACATATAGATGGGTAGGAAAAGCCTCTGTACCTTACAATGACCACCCTTGCCCCACCCAAAGACAATTGGCTCTCATTATTGGTAAATATATATCCTTTCTGAAAGACAGGGCAAAAGAGTATCTGCTTTTCTCCTGTGGAGAGCCTGCTGTATTCAAACTGCTGGCCTTTCAGGTAGCAGCTCACCGTGTCACGAACTGTGTTACCAGACTCCTTCGCTGAGTGTGCTTTGTAGAGGCCGAACCAACCCGTAGCTGACCCTCCAGCAGGTCTTTCAGAGGTGTTAAACGACACCTCCCTCAGAGGTGCTGGTAGTGGATTTGAACCACTGGAAGCACACTTTCTTACCACTAACCCACCCCAGCTCCCTATCGGAGCACTTTAGACACAGTAAAACCATTACTGAGATATGTAATACTGGAGAGAATACATAGTGGAGAGAAAAATGATGAGTTCATTTCTGGGTATATTTAGAGATTGAAATGCCAGTGAAATATCCAAGTAGAAAACTCTAGGAGAAATTAAGATTATCTGGGATTAAAGCATAGAAGAAAAATTTGGGTTGAGAAACTGATTTATAAATCATCAGCATACAGAAGCAAAGGGTCCCTGGTGGAGTAGTTTAACATGTTATGGGGCTCCTAACCAAAATGCTGGAAGTTGGAATACACAGGCTGTTCTTCAAAAGAAAGATGTGAGTCTTCTGAATAGGTTTACATACAGTCTTCAAGGAGAAGACTATGAGTTGGAACCAACTTGACAGTGGTGAGTGGGTTTGGTTTTTATACAGAAGTCATGGGAAACGGATTATTCAGGGAGTATTAGAACATATTAAATGATGAGGAATGAACCTATATTGTGGAGGTACGATAAGGCTTTTTCAAATGGATTCACTTACCCCCTGAGCTTCCCTCTTCCCCATTCCCTTCTAGTGGTTTATCCAATACCTGTTTTTTTTTTTACTTTACAAAGATTGATGATTTTCAGCTGGCAAACTGTCATCTATAAAAGCTTGATTTCCCAAGCTCCACAGGGTTCCAAGGCAGCTCTGGTGGCTTAGTGGTAAGGTGTTGCACTGTCAGCTCAAAGGCATGTGGTTTGAATCCACTAGCTACTCCATGGGAGAAAATGGGCAATCTCCTCCCTTGTGATTTATTGCCACCGAAAACCCAGTGAAGGGTCAACTATGAGTTGGTTCTGATTCCACAGTACATAACAACATTGGGTTCTAAGACTGTAATCTTCATAGACATTGTTATGTGCCATTGAGTTGGAACCAACTCATAGCTGACCCTCTAGTAGGAGTCACATGGGAGGTTAATGCCTTTCTTTCTCCTGCACAGCAGTTGGTGGATTCAGACTGTGTACTTTTGGTTAGCAGTGCAAATCCGTGCCACTTGGCCAACATGTCAAGTACGATTCATAGCAAACCTGTCAACAACAAATCTGAACTCTGTGCCATTCTCACAATTTCTGACACACCTGAGTACATGCAGCCATCACTGTGTCAGTTCACCTAGTTGAAGGTCTTTTCTTTTACCAATCCTCCACCTCTCAAACCATGATGTCTCCTCCAAGAAATAAATAACCTCTCCAAGCAGCATGCCTGAAGTATGTGAGGCAAAGCATTATCTTTGCCTTTAAGGAACACTGGCTGCACTTTCTCCAAGACATACTTGTTTGTTCTTTTGGCAAACCATCGAGTATTCAGTATTCTTCTCCAACACCACAGCTCAAAGACATCAATTCTTCATCTGTCATTCTTCTTTATTGTCCAGCTCTCAGATGCATAGCGAGTGACTGAATCAATTGTGAAAGCAGACTGCCATACCTTTTCCTGGCAGGGTGTCTACTGTGTTTAAATTACTACCCTTTCAGTTGGCAGCCGGACAGTAACCACTATGCCACGAGGGCTCCTAGAATCTAATATTAATTTGAAGAATAAAAATAGGACCACAGAATACATACTTTTCTGCTCCTTGAGATTTTATATCCTAATATATTTTAGAGTGAATTTTTCTCTTTCTATATTTAAGAATTTTTTTCAATCCCCAAGCTTTAGAAAGTCTATGCAAATATTATTGTTTTCTTTCTGCTAATGCATCCTGGAATATGCTGTATTTAAACCAAGATCTCTGGGAACTTACATCCTAAGAAGAAAGTAGGATGTGTTCTTGTTGATCAAGAAAGGAGAATTTAAAGCCTATTCAGAAAAATAGAAAGACAAAAAAAAAGAAAAAGAAAAAGAAAAAGAAAAAAGATGTTCCTTGAGTTTATATTTTGATGCCTTTTTGAAAAGAATTGAATATGGATGAAGCTGAGAGGTGAAAAACATACATATGGGGTATAGTTTTCATACAGGACTTTGTAAACTGCATATATACAGTATTTTGCTTATCATGGAGCAGACTGATTTCTAGTATTCCTTGGTTTGAATGAAAAGATAGTGAAGAATTCCAAAACCAGGGTTTTGGTGTTTTTTTCTTTTTTTTACTTTTTTACCAAGCACTTACTGAACACTGACCAAGTGCCAAGCATTGGACTAGGTACTTGATACTCAAAGATGAAAGGACAATATGGTCCAGACCATAGTCTTTGCCATTACTTGCAGGATAGAGCAGGTTTCAGTTCTCTGTCTTCTCTATCCATTATGAAGTTATATATTGGCGCAGTGGTGAAGATCTCTGTTTTCTTAATTTGAAGGCTGTAATCTTTGATCTTCTCCAGCAAGCATTTAAAGTCTTCCTCACTTTCAGCAAGTAAGGTTGTGTTATCTGCATAACATGAGTCTTCCTCTGATTCTGACGCAACATTCATCTATATAAAATCCATTGTGTGAATATACCATAGTTTTTCTATCTTTGCAAATTTTTAAAAAACACCATTAATGGGACGAAAAAAAATTTTTTTGGTGCCACCTGACAGGATGCCATGAGAAGGATACATCATATCTGTGCTGGTCCTACTGAAAATGCACAACCTGATTAAAACCAAGAGAAAATATCAGGCAAATCAAAGCAATAGGTTGTACATAAAACATCTGGCCTACATCAAAAGTACTAGGATCATAATCAAGAGAAGACTTTATTTTCTTCACTGGTTCCTTCAAAGGAGGTTTAGGAGGCTAACATCCTTGGAACTAAAGCAATAAATAAAAATTACTGGGTTAACTAGCAAAACATGAATAGGTTATGAAAATTTTAATGGTTTTATTACAGTTATGTGGGACCATATTATTTATAAGAAGTAAACACTGGAATATATGATGGTTGTTGTTGTGTCCTGTTCAGAACTGACCCTCTGGAGAGTTTTCAGATGCAGTAAATCACATGGAAGGAGAATGTCCACTTTTCCCCCATGGAGAAGCTGGCAGCCCTGAAACCACGTGCCTCAGGGATTGCAGAGCTTCTTGCCACTAGGCCACTACAGTTCTACCTTGATGGTAACAAAGTCTTAAAAAATTAGAGGAGAAAAAGGTTCTTATCAATTCTTGCACCTTTTCTGTAAATTTGGTATTATTTAAAAAGAAACATAAGTATGAAAAACAATGTGAATGAAAAATAGTGTGAAGCACAATACATACAAACTTTGTAAGCAAACCAATATAAAATTAAAAAAAAAAGGGGGGGTTCATTTACTTTCTAATCCATCTGAATACTTATTAGTTTGTGCTCTAACCTCCAGGGGGAGCTCAAGCCTTTCATTGTAGGAAAAAGGCATTCAGTTGATCCTTGGTAAAGAGCAGTTCATCAGAGTGGGAAATGGGGAGGGATTAATGGAAAAAATTGTTACTGGAAACCTGTTGTGGTAAAAAATGATGAGTTTTAGGTATTTGGAATTTGTAATGGCTCCACTGATATTAATGCAATAAAGTGCCCAATTTTTAATTAACTTTTGATTGAAAAGGCAATGGGCTATATAGTCAGGAGTTCTAGATTTTTCTACTGTGTGATTCAAAACTCAAACTCGCTGCACTGCAATCCCAGAGGTGCGCGGTTCAAATCCACCAGATGCTCTGCTGGAGAAGGAGGGAGCAATCTCCTCCTGTACCAGTCAGATCTGATTTGACGGTACATGTAAAAATAATACAATAAAAATTTTAAAAAAGCCCAAACAAACAAAACTCAAACTAACTGTTGAGTTGGTTATGACTCAACCATCAGGTCCCTGAGGCTGTAAATGGTAACAGAAGGAGAATGTCCCATTTCCCCTCCCCCCTCCACTTGATGGAGTCAAACTCAGATAAGGTGTTTTGGTTAGCACCCTCCATTAGTTCCCTCTGTAGGATACCACCAGAACTGTTTACTCCCTGTTTATTACCTCAATATATAATTTTGAGGAGTTCTTGGGTGGTACAAATAGTTAACATATCAGGTGCTAACTCAAAGGCTGGAAGTTTGAGTCAGAGGTATCGCACAGGAAAGATCTGGTGACCTAGTTCCAGCAGGAGGTAAGGGTGGGAAAGCCAATGAAAACCTGTGGAGAAAAGATCTATTGTAATACACATGGAGTCACTGAACTGGCATGAACCTGACAGCAGGCAACTTGTTTTATAGGCTTTGGTCTCTCATTTGTAAAATGCAGGAACTGAGCTAGGAAACTGTGATTGTTTATTCTATAATATGGATTTAAGAGACCTTTTCTTTTCAAGAGCAAAACAGTAAGAACAGTACATTGACAGAGAACTGCTAGAAATATAAGCTGGGTTCAAAGTCGAGAAAGGAGGACATGAGGGAGGTATCCTTTCTCCATGCTTTTTCAATCTATATACTGAACAGATCATTCAGGATTGGACTTTATGATGAAGAATGTATCAGGATTGGAGGAAGACTCATCAACAACCTGCTTTATGCAGATGGCACAACCTTGCTCACTGAAACTGAGGAGGACCTGAGGCATTTGCTGCAGAAGGTCAAGGACCGCAATCTTTAATATCGATTGCATCTCAACATCTAGAAGACAAAGATTCTCACCACTGAACTAAAAGACAGCATTGTGATAGAGAAAAGATTGAGGTTAATGATTTCATTTTGCTTGAATTCCACAATCAACACTCTTGACAGAAGCAGTTAGGAAATCAAAAGATGAGTTACATTGGGAAAATCTGCTGTCAAGGACTGCTCGAGTGTTAAGAAGCAATGATGTCAGTCTAGAGACTAAAGTGCACTAAAGACTGGAAGACCAGGTCATGGTCTTCCAATTGCTTGCTGTGCATCAGAGAGCTAGACAATGTCTAAGGATGACAGAAGAAGAATCAATGTTTTTTGAGTTGTGGTGCTGGAGAAAAGTACTGAACACGGACTGCCAAGAAAACAAACAGGTCTGTCCTAGAGAGGGTGAAATCAGGTTGCTCCTTGGAGGCAGGGATTTTGAAGCTCTGTCTCACGTACTTTAGGCATGTTGCCAGGTGGAACCAGTCCTTGGGAAAGGATATCATGCTGAGAAGGATTACCACCCCTTGCCCATCCTCACCCCTCTACTCCCACCCTCCCCTCTTGGATCCACATATACATTTTACTAGTTATCTTTCTATTTCAACAATAATTGTCTTATAGAGTATCAAATGCCATATCTTGAGTGAAACCTTCCCCAAATCCTCTTCTGTTGTTGTGATCATTGTGT